ACACAAATGTAGATACTTATATATAACGTGTGTGTAGAGTGAAATAACAGCAAAACTACAATAGAATCTCGAGTGACGACCGCCTCATATGGCGACCATTTTGGGTAATGAGCGCCCCGATCGCCGACAATTCGTCTCGTTAGGCGACCACTCGTTTGAACAGCAGTCAACACCACATGATGGGGTCTGGGGCTCCTTCTCGCATATTCTCGGACGCCTCCGATGACACAAATAAATTATTTTTCTTTGTTTAAAAATGCTATTGATGCTGGGATGTTGCAAAGCATTGACTTTTTTGAAGAAAAACAAAATGATTTTTTTTAAAGAGAGAACAAATGTCAGAAAGGTTCATTCGGTGTTCAGCAGGTAGGCTGCTCCATGTTTCTTAACAAAAAATAAATAAAAAAAAGTTGAAACAATTTGAAAAATGGACAAATGCCATAAAGGGTTGTGCAGTGTTTGTCGGGTAGGCTGCTCCATTATTGAGATGTAAATGAAAAATACAAAACAAATGGAACACATTTGAAACAAAGATTGTTATAATGGAGCAGCCTACCTGACAAACACTGAACGAACCTTTTGCTATAACAAATATGAAAGGCTTGGGCTGCTGGCTGGGTCATTATGGTTAGTTCTGAGTGAGCAACCATGGGTGGCGCACGTGCCTCTGGCTCCCAAACACCTGTCCGACATGGTGTTGAAAGATTGCGCACTGTCAGTGTATTCAGACCTTATTGTTTGAAGAACATAAGGGTCATGATATTGGGAAGCTAGGTGCAATAAGGACCTAACACAAAGATCGGATGCAAGTGATACAGCACCTATGAGGATGATACAGCGAGTGTATCCAGTTGAAGCTCTGAGCGCCACTCTTGCCCACTTATGCTATCTTCAATATACAGTATATTGATGATACATAGATGAATAGTTTTCTGCGTTCAGTGATGATGCATCTGATACAAGTAGCATAGATGAACAGTGGTAGCGGCTTCCATGGTGATGTTTTCCATAGATATTTTCAAGATTAGTTGAATCTCTTCTTGACTGACAAACACTCTTTGAGACTGGCTGAATCTTCCAGAATGCCAGAATCTCTTTTAGATTGACGGACACTCTCCGAGGGTGGCTCAATCTCTTCCTGTGTGAGACCTTACAAAGTGTTCTTTTGAAGACTACCTTACATATTGATCTTTTCCAATAATCTTTTCAATACTACCTTATGCTTTACAAGCTTGGCTACATACAACCTATAAGTACTAAAGCCAAGGGTGTACATGAGTGTGTTATTTGCAAGCACACAGAACGAAGAAACAGGACGCGAAAATTTATCTCTACCTGGTGCAACGAGAGTGAAGTCGCGCTGTGTACCATGGACTACTTCGTTGATTATTACACACCTCCAAAGTACCGAGTGTGTAATACAGTGTGTTACTGTGTAAACGGTGTGTGAAACTGTACATATTGTAATTTTAGTGAATTTTTAACAAGTGATATCGTGACAATAAACATATATTATTGGACAATAAACATATATTGTGGACACATTGCTGACATATATCACAGTTCCATGGAACATTATGAACATTCTCACTATATACATACTGTAAATGTCACATATCTGCAACATAAACGATATAAAAAACAAATAAAACCGCATTGGAAATACATAGAACAAATAATTGAAAATATATTTGTGGCAACACGTGTTGCTTGAATGGCCAGTGCGACCATGTCTGGGAGCTTCATGCACGGGCAACCAGCCCCTGATGATGTCACAGCGCACCTTGTCCATGTCCCCACAGCCAAAGTAGAATTTGGTATTTATTTTTGCGTAGACATGTTCAGGGAAGGGAATTTATCATTTTACAACTAAAAATGATTTTTTGGGGGAACACTTGCTGTCATGCGCATTGGGAATTTCACAACAAACTCGGCGCTTCTGAGTGGTTAAATGGGGACATTCGTTTTGAAACACAACCATTTCACATGACGAGCACGGCGCCGGAACGGATTAAATTCGTTATTAAAGGTACCACTGTATTTGTTTATTTTTTATGAACATAATAATTGAATCACTAATATGCATACCATGCCTTTGAGTATAGCGATATTTCCCACATTTCATTATATGAATATATCACACTAGACACTAATGAATAATATTACTGTACTGCATAAAAACAGAGAAAAAATCAGACATTAAAATAATTAGATAATAATATCTTTGTGGCAACTCCCACCTGAATGTGCGGGTGAAGGAGACCAGTACACGAAGCTTAGTGTGACAGCGCCTCAATTTTGCCAGACTTTCTCACCCTATTGCGGCAAAAATATGTCACCTACTATCTTTTTTTTCCCCGCGTGATCACGGAACACAAATGAACACTTTTATAAGACAAAATTTTTCTTTTTTCTTCATCTTGCACCTGGGTATGTAGCAGGCTATAATTGCAAGCACCTTCCAGGGGTTAAAGTACAGCTGGAAAATTTCATCAGGACAAATGGGAGGACCTTCGACAAGCCACTGGCTTCCAGTCCTTGTCAAGGTCACTAGTGTAAGTGGCTCTCAAGTTAACTCAGCTAAACTACCACTCACAAGTTAAGTATAGGGTGCACTATAAACTACCACTCACAGGATGAGTTTGGGGTGCACAATAAGCTACCACTCACAGGATGAGTATTTGGTGCACAATAAACTACCACTCACAGGATGAGTATAGGGTGCAAAATGAAATAACACTCACAGGATGAGTATTGGCTGCACAATAAACTATTACTCATGGGAGGAGTATAGGGTATACAATAAACTACCACTCATAGGATGAGTATTGGGTGCAAAACAGCCTAGCTGCCTCCAGACAACAAAAAATCATGATTAAAATTTGGTTACCTAATTAAAACTTGATTTGGGTAATTCAATGGCAGTGCATCGAAGATGATACATGCTTCACTGGTCCCTGTAATACAGTCGGGTTCCTTCTCGACGCACAATCAAGAATTTTAGGTTCAAATCCCAAGCAGGACAGAAATGGTTGGGAACATTTCCTGTCACCTAATGAATCTGTTCACCTAACAGTAAGTAGGTACTCAGGAGTTAGTCAACTTCTTGTGGAGATGCATCCTGGGCAAGGTCAGTAATTAGACCTTGGGGTGGGGACACCTTGATAAAAGCCTAACATGTATGAATACACTCTGGGTTTCTGTGCTCCAACACAATGAATTATTAAATTATTATTATAAATACTGTTGGGTCTGGCCAGTAAAAGTTTGGGTGTCCCAATAACAATTCTGCCATTTGACAAGAAAACCTTAATAAGATTAGATATAGGCCTCATGTTTCCCAACCATGGGAGACATATAGGGTCAAACTGTACACAAACTTTGCTTGTTTTGCAATTGTTAAAATTGCATATATCATTAGGTTTAGCTAAGGAAAGTTGGGTTAGGTTAGATAGACTAATATTGCATATATCATTTGGTTTACTTGGGTTAGGTTAGGTAGACTATCAAATAAATTGAATCAATTTGCACACTTATCTTATATAATAATATTTATTATAAAAATACAGAGGATTTATTTATTTATTTATTTATTTATATATATACACGAAGGTACATTGGGATTGTGAGGATACATAGCATAGTAATTACATTCTTGTAAAGCCACTAGTATGCGCAGCGTTTCGGGCAGGTCCTTAATCTAAGAAAATTTTAAGTAGGTAAATACTTGCAAAATTTATAAAAATATTAACAGTTACATAGCAAGAAAAAGAATAAAAGATGAGAGAAAATTGTAGGTAGATTAGATTACAATAGTTACATAGTGGGTACAGTATTTGTATTCTGTATAATGCCATTATCCATTCCTAGACTTTGTGTACTATATCATTTATGGGCAATACGTAATACTATGAAATAAAGTTAACAACTTATTTAGGATAAAACCCACACATGTGTATTTGTGAAATTTACCTAAGTAATTTAAACCAAGTCTTTCACACTCTTGGGAGTGCTATGTCAAGGTCTGAGTATGTGGTTAGGATGAGACTTAGATCTCAACGTCTAATAGATTAGACATTGATATGTAAGTCTCGTCCTAATTACACACTCGAACATTAAGAAAGCACTCAGGCGAGTGTGATATTTGGTGTAAATTCTTTACATAAATTTCACAAATACATAAGTGTGGGTTTTTATCCCATGTTATTATGTCTGGGAGAAGACATTACCATTACTTACAGAAATTATTATTATTATAAATTATTATATAGGGTCCGTCTAATTACCACAAGCTACACAAGCTTCAGAAAGCTTCCTGGCAATACGTTAGTAATGAATAAATATGATATGTTAGGTTAGGCTAACCTAACCTAACCTAACCTAACCTAACCTAATCTATCCTAACCTAACCTAATCTATCCTAACCTAACCTAACCTAACTTAACTTAACCAAACCAAACCTAACCTAACAGACGCTTGGATCGTCGACTTGATTTGGCGTCACCAGCTTTTTATTTTCGTCTAATTTCTTCATAAAAGGTACTTTTTCAGATTAAAATTATGTTTTTTCGTGTTGTATATTCAGCACCAACATTATAATGAGTAAATATATCATATTTATTCATTACTAACGTATTGCCAGGAAGCTTTCTGAAGCTTGTGTAGCTTGTGGTAATTAGACGGACCGATTATATATATTGAATGGATATGCTGTGTTCTAATGATAGTTAATGCTGATAGGTACAGCGTTATTTTAGGTTGTGTAGCTTCAGTGTCTGCTTTATAATTGTAAAAAAAAGTTATATTTGTAGCGTTAAGCACATATATTACCAGTGACAGAGTGCTGATAACACCCATCCTAAATTATTATAAATGAACGGGGGGGGGGGGGGGGAAGCAAAAGAAATTGTGAGAGAGAGTTTAAAGCATATTTTCATTCTTGTCATGTCGAGCTAATACAAAGATCTCAAGACAAAACAATAACAAACAATCTTACTCACCTACCACACCAATTGTTGGTGGGTAAATAAGCAGAAGTCTTCAATGAGTGAGGTAATGAGGCCAAGACTGTGAGAGCTCACAGCCAATGTTGACGTCTACGGCAGTGTTGCCACTTTCACAATGGAAACACTGCTGGAAAATGAAAAATCCCAAGAATTCCCCAGAATACCTTAACTGAGAGCCACAATTTCCCTAGCTTGTATCTGAGATCGATCGAGCCTTCCATCTTTTATCTTTCTTTCTTTCTTCCTTTTTCTTTCTTTCTTTCTTTCTTTCTTTCTTTATCTTTCTTTCTTTCTTTCTTTCTTTCTTTCTTTCTTTCTTTCTTTCTTTCTTTCTTTCTTTCTTTCTTTCTTTCTTTCTTTCTTTCTTTCTTTCTTCCTTTATCTTTCTTTCATTCATTAATTTGTTTATTCATTCAATTTTTTCTTTGTATTTATTTACATGCTTAGGTAATTCAATTTCTTTCTTTATTATGCACCCCATACCCATCCCGTGGACGGTGGTGTAAAGGATTACAGAGGCACATAATCAGTTCAGGAACTGAACCCTCTAGTTCGTTTAGCTAAGCAAATAACAATGTTTGACGCTAGTTACAAAATTATCAATGTTGTATACACATGTACACACCCTCATACATACATGTACATATATATATACGTATACACATATACATACACATACATGTCTAATCACCCACACAAATACACACATCAATAATCTTTGTGTCACAAGTGACATTACAAGAGGCTCACAACAGTCACTATACAAGGCACTTTACATCTATAGTGAGTCACACAGTTACTAGTCTTGCTGCACACCCACCCAACTGGGCGGCAGCCTTACAGTCATGTGCATGCATTACCTACAGTAAGCAAATTTTGGATACTTCACTAAAATTTCGGGCAGCACATCATTATGAATGAAGTACTTACACATTTCTCGGACACTATTGATGGTGTTATCTCTAAATTCCGCAATTTTTTCACATTCCATTATATAATGACGCAAAGTATATACACAATAATGTGCTGCTACCCTTTTCTGAGGTTGGAAGAAAACGCGCTCAGAGTGGGGACTTGTTTATTTTATAAATAGACACTGCTGCTCAAGCTAGCGGTGATGTTTCTGTGGGGAAGAAAGCGTATTACCATAAGTTTGTGTCTAACCGACTAAAGTTGCGCGCGCATCAAGCTGGGTACTTAAAGCGCGCCCGGGGACTCGGCGACCTCTTGACCGCCTCCTCCCTAGACGACACACTACAAAACGCTCCGCCGCCATCCTGCTACACGTGAACCACGACGCCCAGTACCCCAGAAGCCTTCCACCATTGCCTACAAGTCACGGGACTCCTGTTTGAGTGAAGTCGTTGTTAGCCCATGGTGTTTCAGAGCAACCTGCCCATCGCAATTACCCTAAGGTACAGTCCTGCCCGTGTTTTCCCACCACGCTCTGCGTGGGGGGTGCCCTTGTTAGTTAAGGATGTCCCCAGTGAGGTTCGGCGTGTGCCCAGCGCCGTGCCCCTTGTCGTGCGTGTTGCGACGCAGTAGCTAGCTGCCTCTCAGGTTTACTTGCCCTCTCTAGGGAGCAGCCGTGCGGGCTGTCCCTTCATGCCTCTGCGCCGTGCCCGGGCGTGCGCGTCGTGCCACCCTCGCCCTAGTGGGCGCCTGGGCCACGTGGCATGCACGTGCGGGCTCCTCTACGCACGTGGGCCGGGGTCGCCCACGCCTAGTGGCGTGGCCCATGCGGTCTGGTTTCCTTGCCCTAGGGGCCCGGAGGTGCACGGCGTGCCCTGGTGCCCGTGCCCGGGATACGGCGTGGGCCACGTGGCCAGGCTCCTTACGGCTTTCTTCCCTCTGGGGCTGCCCTAGAGGTCTTAATTGGCTCGCCTCACGCCCAGGCTGAGGGCCGCGTGGTGTGGGCGTGAGTTTCGTGCCATGCATGTCTGGGTCTCCCTACCGCGCGAGGGCGGACGGCGCCACATCTGGTGGTGTCGCCTGGGCGGCCAGGCTAGGCGTGGTCCCTGGAGCCACTGCTTCGCCTGTGGCCCTAGTGGGCGCCTGGGCCACGAGGTGTGCATGTGCGGGCTCCTTAACGCCCGGGGGCTGGTGGCGTGGCCCATGCGGCCAGTCCTCCTGGTTTACTTGCCCTACGGGCGTCCCTCGGGGCACAGCGTGTCCAGCGTGGCCTAGTGTCCGCGCCCAGGGATCGACGTGGTTGGCTCCTTTCGGCTTGCACGCCTCTGGGGGCTGCCCTAGGGGCCTTGCCTCGCCTCTCGCCCAGGCCGTGGGCCATGGGGTGTGGGCGTGCTGGGCTCTCGCCCGCGGGCGTGTGCCGCAAATACGCTGGGGGTGTTGTCCCACGTAATCAGGCACTCTCACGCCTCTGTGGGCCTCCTGCGGGCGGCGACCGGGTCTGGGGGCCACGTGGGGTGTACGTGCAGGCCGGCTACCTTACCTTACCTTGAGGTGCTTCCAGGGCTTAGCGTCCCCGCGGCCCGGTCGTCGACCAGGCCTCCTGGTTGCCGGACTGATCAACCAGGCTGTTGGACGCGGCTGCTGGCAGCCTGATGTATGAGTCACAGCCTGGTTGATCAGGTATCGTTTGGAGGTGCTTATCCAGTTCTCTCTTGAACACTGTGAGGGGTCTGCCAGTTATGCCCCCTTATGTGTAGTGGAAGCGTGTAGAACAGTCTCGGGCCTTTGATGTTGATAGAGTTCTCTCTCAGAGTACCTGTTGCACCTCTGCTTTTCAATTCCTAGGGCTCCCTCTAGGTCCCGTCCTGGCGGATGTGGTTCCCGACGATGATCCAGCAGCCGAAGCCCCTGCCGGCGGTGTTACAGCTGAGCATGCCCTTCCCGCCCTCAGTGCCGTGCCGGGTGTGCGTGTCGTGCCATGCACGAGTGGGTCTCCCTTGCACGAGTGGGTCTCCCTTGCACGAGGGTGGGCGGCGCTACACCTGGGGGTGTTGCCGCGTGGCCAGGCTCAGTTTATTTATTTTGTTATTCATTTATTTATTTATACATATACAAGAAGGTACTTTAGGATTGTGAGGATATTTAGCTTAGTAATAACATTCTTGTAAAGCCACTGGTACGCGAAGCGCTGCTGGATCAGTGGCTAGCTTGCCCTAGACGTGGCCTTGGGTGCTCTGCTTTGCCCCCTTGCCCTAGTGGGCGCCCGGGGGCGGGCGGCGCCACACTGGTGGTGTCGCCCATCTGGCCGACATTTCAGTTACTAAGATTCTTTACTTTGAGAAAGAAGAGTTCTTTATGCTTATATCCTACTTTAATAAGATCAAGACTTACTTCGGTTCCGAAGAATCGATTCGGAACAATCCTATCAATTATTCCTTTATTATTGTCTCACTATGATTATTATTTTTTATTATTATTACTCTCTATTATAATTATTATTAACCCAGCTGCCAGCCGTTGGTCCAGCAACTGAGGCTTCAGTTACTAAGAATCTTTAATTAAAAATCGAATTAAGATTTCTCTATGCCTATATTATACTTTAATAAGAACATGAATTACTTCAGTTCCGAAGAGTCGATCCAGATGTATCCTATCAATTATTCCTGATTATTGTTATTCTTTATTGTTATTTTATTATTATTGCTGGGCCTCACGCTGAATGGACAGCGCTTGGGGGTCGTAGTCATAAGGGCCCGGGTTCGACTCCCGGCGGAGGCGGAAACAATTGGGAAGTTTCTTTCATCTTTATTATAATTATTATTAACCCAGCTGTTGAAGTTCTGGCTGGCGAGGTCCCAGCCGATGATCCAGCAGCTGACGCTCCAGTCCGTGGTGTAGTGGTAAGACACTCGCCTGGCGTTCCGCGAGCACTATGTCATGGGTTCGTATCCTGACCGGGGAGGATTTACTGGACGCAATTCCTTAACTGTAGCCTCTGTTTAACGCAACAGTAAAATGTGTACTTGGATGGAAAAACGATTCTTCGCAGCAGGGGATCGTATTCCAGGGACCTGCCCGAAACGCTACGCGTACTAGTGGCTGTACAAGAATGTAACAACTCTTGTATATATCTCAAAAAAAAAAAAAAAAAAAAAAAAGTTAATAACAATCTTTACTTTAAGAAAAGAACAGCTTTCTTTATGCTTATATTATCTATAGTAAGATCAAGAATTACTTCAGTCCCGAAGATTCGATTCAGCCGAATCCTGTCAATTATTCTTTATTATTGTTATCCCTTAGTGTTATTATTCTTTATTATATTCGTTATCCCCCTGTGCTTATTAATTATGGGATAAAGAACAATGGATGTACCACATTACTCGATGCCGTATAACCTAACTGAGCGGTGCGCCAGTGCTGCAATGGATGCAACTAGGGAGAATGCCGGAAACGCTGCGCGTACTAGTGGCTTTACAAGAGTGTAAATACTGTACTATCCAATATGTATTCTCACAAACCCAATGTACCTTCTTGTATATATATAAATAAATAAATAAATAAATAAATGTGTCATGGCACATTGCTGACGGAGCCTAGTGCCAGTTACCCAATGCAATGTCGGGGTACACACTAAGGAGGTTTCAATTATTATTCAGTCATTATGTCTGGTTATGTCTATTCACTTTTCCCTGTTTATTATTACCCTCATATTCAATTATCCATACTGGTTATTATAATTTTGCTACTCATTTATTTATTTATTTATTTATGCATATACAAGAAGGTACATTGGGAATGTGAGGATACATAAATTGGTAATTACAGTCTTGTAAAGCCACTAGTACGCGCAGCGTTTCGGGCAGGTCCTTAATCTTAATCAGGTCCTTATTCAACACAAATCCCTCTGCGAAGTTTGACCTCATACAATCAGCTGCTAAGCAAAAAACCAACCTCTATATAAATGAGTGTCTTACAAAGCAGCGTGGATCCCTCCTCTTCAGGCTGCGTCAAATTCGCAAACAAAACCCTGGTCTTATCAAGCAGTGCTACACTAGGAATGGTACGATTTTTGCGAAGAAGGAAAGTACAGGAAAAAGATAAGAAATAAAATGTGACCAACAACTCCTGGCCTTCTTAAGTGATTGTGGTATATCTGAAAACCTGAACCCGACCAATGCCAGTACTTAAATTAACTCT